CTCCAGCTCCAGGGGAGCCATTGCCCTCTTTTGACCTCTGAGGGCACATGCACAAACTTACACCTGGATACATACACATACACATACACATAATTAAAAACAAGGTCTTAAAAAAGAAAGAGAAAACAAAGCAGTATTAGCTATGTTTAAGGGCTACAGGGAGTCAAAATGAGAAAACACAGGTACATCAGTGGACATGCTAAAAATGCTGCCCAAGTGTACTGTTACCAGTGTCTCTGTCAAAACTAAAGTGATAGACTGTGAAGATGGCTTAGTGGATAAGAGCACTTGCTGCACAAGCATGAGGAACCGAGTTCAAATCCCCAGCACCCACATAAGAAGCTGGGCACACCTATAACCCAGGAACTGTGAGGGGCAGAAGCAAGAGGATCACTAGACCACCAGCCTAGCTCCAGGTTCAGTGAAGAGACTCTATCTCAAAGGAATAAGGTGGAGAATGATAGAGAGGACACCCAGCATCATCCTCCAGGCTCTGAGCACACACAGGCATGTACACCCACCCACACATTTATGCGCGCGTGCGCACACACACACACACACACACACACACACACTTTTGATTAGCGAGGAAGCATGGAACAGGTCTCAGAAATCTATCTACTGCCCCTCTCCTCAGACCTGTTATTCCTAATCAAATCCATCACCATCTAGAAGTTTGGTTCACGAGTTTGTCAAGAACTGGTATGAGAGTCACAGAAGAACCACGGAAGGCCACACGCCATGTGGATGACTTCAGACATGGGAATGAGCCAAGAGCACAGCAGAGCCCTGGAACTTTCAGTAGCAGAGTAGATCAGGCCATGGAGCGTAGGAGACCACATCACAGCTCTCGTGACGAAGAAAATGTATGGCTACACCAGAAAGCCAAGGATGCCCCAGAAAGAAGTGGGGCTACCACCCCTCCTTAAGGCTGTTCCCTCACCCTCAAAGTTCCATGGGCAGCACCCTTCCCACTCAGGCAGAACACCTATGAGAGAGCAAGAGACCTGAGAGTGAAGGGTATAAACAAGCAGCCCACATTGAGGCACAGGCTGTCCAACAGAAGCCTGGAGAAGCCTGCCCCCTCAGCAAGCATGGCCCAGTGGCTAAGCACCATTTCCCACCCCTTCTCCTTTTTCTCCTTTTATGGTTGGTTGGTTGGTTGGTTGGTTGGTTGGTTGGTTGGTTGGTTGGTTTGCTTACGAGACAGGGTCTCATGTAACCCAGGCTGGCCTCAAATTCACTATGTAGCTGAGACTAGCCCTCAGCTTCGGATCCTCCTTTCTCTACCTCCTCAGTGTTGGGACTGCAGCCCTGTGCTACCACATCCAGCTTCCCAGTTCCAAAAGTAGCAAAAACATATTTAAATGTTAGCAAATGACAGTGATAATGCGTCCATCAAGGTTGCTTACGAGACAGGGTCTCATGTAACCCAGGCTGGCCTCAAATTCACTATGTAGCTGAGACTAGCCCTCAGCTTCGGATCCTCCTTTCTCTACCTCCTCAGTGTTGGGACTGCAGCCCTGTGCTACCACATCCAGCTTCCCAGTTCCAAAAGTAGCAAAAACATATTTAAATGTTAGCAAATGACAGTGATAATGCGTCCATCAAGGGACAGCTCTCACACTCCTAAAGCACACTAACACAGGACACTATCACCACAAGTCATAGAGCAAGGGACAGCCTTGCACCCACTAATCCACAATCATGAACCTACCCCCAAAGAGGCAATCTGAAAGAAAATGCTGACCAATGTTCTTAAGAGCATGCTCACTACACACCTCCAGTTTTCATTTTTTTTCCTTATAGTAAATGAAGAAACTCATTTTAAAAAAAGAAAAACACCTAACTGGTACCCCCACACACACACACAATTATCTAGAAATTCATCAGAATGACCAGGCACATGAAAAGGAACAGGAGGATCAGGACACACACCATACTCAGGAACAGAATACAAATTAAGTACATTACAGCAGCTCGGGCTCTTCATTCTGGTCCAAAGACTTTCCTAAGCCTGACACAGCTGCCCTTCATAGGCCCCTTGCATGAGGTGGGTGTTCACTTGTCTGTGTGCTGAGACATGAAACAAAGTACTGAACATTTGAGAGCAGGCAGCTAGAGCCATGAGCAGCAGTCTTTAGAGCAACCCTCCTGGCTGGGACACCCTGCCACTGCCAACATTAGTTCCTACATACCCAGCACCCATCGCCCCAACCAGAAATCATAAGCTGACCTGCAGATGAACAGAGTCGCTGAGGCAGAATCACAAGTGTCTAGGTTGCCATCGTTACTACTTAACTAATTCACTTTTTCATAAGAGGCTTCTGTGTTTTCTTGGGTACCAAAGAAAGGACAGAACAGTAATATCCAGCCAGCCATTCCATCCTTTCCTGGCCAGTAAGCAACAACATATCCTCAAAATGCCTCACCACTAACTCCCTGGGAAATTTCAGAGACACCCAGGAGGGGAGGGGCACTCCTCAAGTGTGGAAGACTAAACGAGCTAGCTCAAGCTCCATGAAGAGCACGGGCAGCCACCAGCACTGACTGTGTAAATGAAGCCAGGGAAGCTGGCTTTAGGAAGCACATGGTTGATAAGTTCCTTTGCTGAGCTCCTTGAGGGTTTTTGAGAGCCAAGTGCCCCCTCTACAGGGGGTTCCTGCGTGCTTGGCTGGGATGCTAGACTTCACCTAAACTGAAGCCACTCTGGAGACAGCTGCTCCTGCAACACCTCGACTTGTATCAAGTCCTGCCCCCACACGGAGAAGCATGATATGGTACATCCCCACCAAACTCATCCTGAGCCCTGGTCCTCAGTGCAACAGAGGAATCCAAGTGTTCAAGCTCTTCTCAAGGGTGTTGAGTTGGGACTCAAGGGAGGGTTAAGTCTCCCAGGACCAGCTTCATTACTAATAGACCACTGTTATACAACTAGTGGTACCTCCCTTTGGCCAACTAGCACGTGCTCCTCCTGCCCACACCTGCTACTCTGCCATGATAAGGCATCACAGCCATCACCAGAAGCAAAGAAGATGCTAGTGCCAACCTCCTGGCTGGGAAGAATGACCTCTGGAAACACTTTGACCTCAGCATTGCAGCCTCCTGTACCACAAGACAATAAACTTTTGCTGAAGCCAGCTGGTTCATGACCCTTTGTGGAGGCAGACTAAAGCAGAGGGGCACACATTGCCCTTCCTATTTCTCTCACAGATGGCAAAGGAAGTGGGATGAGTGGATGAAGGAACTCAAAGCCACTCTCACATTCTGAGAATGCCAGCCCTCATCTGCACTGGAGCAGAGCAGACCAGGAAGCTACTCCATCACCTGCTCACAATGATTACCCACAAGCCAGGTAATCACCAGGTGTGCAAGGTCAAATGTGGGCCCACTGACACCCTCCTTCAGAGAGTCCAGCTTTCAACTCTGGATAGGTCCCTACATGCCAAAGATTACAAGCAATAAAACTAGACTTAATTTCTACAAAACAGAATGAACAAAAACAAGATGGACCATATCCTTGCTGTGGGCATAGCTAGCTCAAGGGTGTCAGGAAGACTGTCCTGAATAAGGAGGTACAAGCCAGGCCAGGGGCTTTCTTGGGGATGGAAATGGCTGAGGGAGACCCACAGGCCAGATCAGCAGCCTCAAGAGCCGCTGACAGAAAAACCTACAAATTTGCCTGCTCCGTGTATCGCACACATCAGGGAAGGGCAGGTCACAATGCCCACTCAGCTGGATTCAAGGTTGAGAAGAGTCTTAGTAAACCAGACATGTCCTCCACAAGAAGGATGCAGTTCGTTCTCCCACACAACATGGTGTCCACTCGCCCTGCTTGCTATGGGACAGTTGTTAGTATTTCCTCCACATGGAGGCTACCAACCGTCTAGAGCTCTGGTGCTCTCTTCTGTTCTCTGTGGGCACTGCATGCATGGGATCACTTATATACATGTAGGTAAAACATAAAATAAAAATAAATTTTTAAAAAATTAAAGATAAAAACACAAAGGAGAGCACACATGTGAAAACAGAAAGATCTAGATGTGAAGATCCGGGTGACATGGTCCTCAGGTGACTGCCACATTTCCAAGCAGAAATGACACCCTGAGGTGCTCTCACTATGACTTCTCTCGGTGTGGCAGTCACCCCCTTACCGCCACTAACCCAGCTTCTAAGGTTTGTTGTCACTTTCAAATTTGAAGGAAATGCTAATTTCACTCAAAGACTGATGAGAAAAAAGTTACAATTTTGCTCTATCCAAGTTCAGACCCCAGATTCTGATATGTGAAATAGAGAACGCCTACTTCTTGCTATCTGGGATGTGAATGGGATGGCTAGAGCTAAAACAACTATTCTGTGCTGACCACAGAGCCATGCACCAGCCTACCTCCGGTCAGAGAGTTTCTATCTTTTTAAGCAACTATTGATTTTTTTTTCCTCTGTCCTATAGGGTCATTCACATCTACCCTTCATGTCTGTGCCTCTAACACCTTTTCTGGGAGGTAAAGCTGGAAGGGGTTTGAACCTGATCATTAGAATATTTCATCAACAAACTGAATCATCTGCCAGGCATGGTGGTGCATGCCTTTAAGCACACAGGAGGCAAAGGGAGGCAGATCTCTGTGAGTTCAAGGCCAGTCTGGTCTACTTAGCAAGTTCCAGGTCAGTTGGGGCTATAGAGAGACCCTGTCTCAAAAAAAGGTTAAAAAAAAACCACCAAATCATCCAGAGTCACAGAAGTCGCAGAGGAAACCAGTCAAAAGCTTCTTGTCACTGACTGAACACAGGAGGCAATTTGGGAACCCACAGAGGGTTCCTTTAATCCTTTAGAGACTCACACACAAGGAACCACAGGCTTGTCACAGTTCCAGAAGCCTACCACACCCCACAGTCCAGTCCACAGCAGGTACACACACCAATTTCAAGTCCACAGCTGTACAGGATGGGCACAGAGGCATTGCTGGGATGCACAGGCCCAGTGAGCCTCAGAAGGTACTTACGAACTGTCATCGACTCAGGCGTCGAAGCAGAGGGTAACAGGCTGCTCAGAGGACTTCCTTGGCCTGGAGAGCTGGCTTCCACACTGGGAGAAAGCAGGCAGAAGGAAGTTACAGTAGGCCTAAAGTACAAATTTTTTACAACACTCAGGTGAATGTTTAGCTGGTATCAATCGGAAGAAGGCCGCCATCAAACTCAGCCAATCCTCCTTCCTGCAGGACATGTAAATGAAAATTTGTCTGAAATTTATTTTAACCCCAAAATCAATACCCACAGTCCTGTTTTATGCTATTCATGAGCAAAATATTAGAGTGACCCAAATGGGCACATTCACAGCTGAGGTCAAGCATGGTGTTGCTGCCTTCCTGTTCCAGCTTCTATAATTGTGAACAGGTCCTCTTTTCCATGGTCTATTCACTGCCATGGTTTTCATATTGTTGTAGCTTGTGGTGGTACTTTCCTTAGTCAAAACGGTCTCTGAAATGGATGTCAGTGCTCCTAACATAGACACCCATGATGTCTAACATGAGGCCAACAGAGAAACAAACGTGTGTTAGACAAGCTCACTCAGGCAAGGACAGGACTGTCCAATGCCAAGAAGCCTACAGCAGATGTGTTTGCTTGTTTGTAACTGAGGCCGATGTATTCCAGACTGGCCTGGAACTTGCTAGGTAGGCAAGGATGACCTTGAACTTCTGACCCTTCTGCCTCCAACTCCTGAGTGCTAGGCTTACAGGCCTACACCACCACAGCTGGTTTTAATTGGTGCTGGGGATGGAGCCCAGGTCTTTGTTCATGCTAGGCCAGCGCTCTACCAACTGAGCTACAGCCTTAGGTTTTAAACAAGGTGCCTTTAAACGAGGACAGACACAGACCTCGACCAATGGATATAAAACTGTCTAGACCAAAGGCTCCCAGCAGCCTGTCCCAGAGCAGTGCTGGTGCTCACAGAACTTTCACAGAGCATAACTCCTGCAGGTAAGCAGGGTCGGCTGCAAATTTACAATCAGTTTCCAATGTGAAAAAATAGCACTGAGCCAGATGTGGCAGCATATGCCTTTAATTACAGTACTTTGAAGGCAGAGGCAGGCAGATCTTTAGGAGTTCCAAGTCAGCTGGGGCTACAGGGAGACCCTGTCTCAAAAAGACAAAAAAAGAGTACTGAACTGTCTGAACTGTCTGTGAACACAGCAGGGCCATCATCCAGCGCACACTGACTGGGAGGAAAAGCAGCAAACAAACATACATGCCATGGACTTGGGCTTACACTTTTCAGTCACTGTCACATTTTGCAAATGTTCTAAAGTACAGTACAAATGGAGTCAGGACCCAGAAGGGTCTGGTCACGCCCTCCTTTCTGACACTGGGCTCAGTGCCATCAGCCTCCTCAAGGTGTGTCATTTTCAAAATCCTGTCTGTGCCGGGTGACAGCAGGATACCAACCAAGGTTTGGGGCAGCCAGAACCCGCCACCCTGGAACTCAAGTTGAGTATGCAGATGGATAATTTCAAGGCACCAAACTGAAATCATGAGGTGAAAAAATTACTATAAGAGTAACAGAGATGAAGCTGACAACAGGGAGACCTGACAACAGGGAGACCTAGGGTGATCTTCCCTCAGTCACAGAACTTGCAATAACTTTGGGCAACTCAGTTTTCCCTCAGGACTTTTTTTTTTTTTTAAACAAAACCTTTATACACTACAATATGCCAAACAGTAGGCTAAATATTTAACAGATACTATATAATGTCTACATATCCTAAGTATTACATAACATTAGGATTGATAAATATTACCAAACATTAATAAAGTTCAAAGTATGACAGAGGAGGTACTCAGATAAGGTCCCAGAAGTGTCAAAAAGGCAGATAGTACATAAATGAAGTTTGATAGGTGCTATATCTCCGTTTGGTGCTGAGGATGGAGCCCAGAGCTTTTGGCATGCTACACAGGTACTCTACCACTGAACAACAGCTCAGCTCTGAGACTCCATCGTATCCAGTTTCTTTGAGGCAAAGGTGATCAAACCTTGGGCATGTTCTAAGAAGTAAATCTGAGCATAAATATGAGATCAGGCCTCAGCCTTCAATCCCAGCAGAAATACAGAGATGTAGGTAACACATCACCACCCCAAAGCAACACTCTTGATACCCACCTGTACTGAAGGCCAGACACTGGCAGAATGTGGTCTTCTGGTCCTGTCCCGTTCTCCAGGCTTCCTACGGGGGCATCTGTGCACAGAGAGCAATCACACAGAAAAGCTGAGGTTTTATTTTCAATTCTCCTTCGCTCAGCTGCTCAATCAGCTGATTTGGAAACTTCCCCCACCTGCACACTGGGTTTTCATCTGCTTCCCATTTCATTTGTTCAGACATCATTACAGCTTGTCAGCTGCAGATAGAATACCCTATTCTCCTATGCTACATGTGACTGGTTTTTTTTGTTGTTGTTGTTTTGTTTTGTTTTGTTTGTTCTTTTTTACCTTGAAGCAAGGTTAAATAAAGTATGCTGGAAGTCCATATCCAGGGCCCCATTGCTCCTGCCTGCAGTGGCTGGAGGAGGACACTGGAGGGCAGCAGGGCCTAATCACTGATGATGGCTGCTGCTTTCTATAAAAGCCACTTTTAGGGAAGCATTCCCAAGAAGCAAAGCCGTAAATAATCTCCAGAACAAACAGGCTAAAGGCAACTGTCACAGATGCCTCAGCCCCAGACCTCCTGGGGCTGCACAACCACATAAAGATCACATCTCCAGCTAGGCATGGTGGTACATGCCTTTAGCATTTGGGAGACAGAGGCAGGCGGATCTCTGGGAGTTCCAACCACCTGGGCCTACAAGAAGACCCTGTCTCAAAAAGACCAAAAAGATCATCTCTCCCAAGGATGTCCTCACTCAATGGAGAAACTTGTGAGTCAGAGGCAGGTGGATCTCTGGGAGTTCCAGCCAGCTGGGCCTACAAGGAGACCCTGTCTCAAAAAGACCAAAAAGATCATCTCTCCCAGGGAAGCCCTCACTCAGTGGAGAAACCTGTGAGTCAGAGGCAGGAGACAGGTGGGGAGAGCTCGGCCTCTAGACCATGGCTTCAGCTTCTCCCAGGCCTAGGGAGCCTTTTGACCTCCTACCATACACTTTACTCATCCACAACTGTTTCAAGTAACCCAAGGATACCCGGCTCTGATCCCTGAGAACAGGAGACCAAATGGGAAATAAAATGATTATCTCTTCCCCAGAGTAAGCACACAGAAAAGCTGAGGCTTTATTTTCAACCTAGGACTGAGGTTAGTTTAAGGGTGCAGACCTACTGACTACATGAGTTCAGGGTCCTGCTCTCCAACTTCAATTCAATGAGTTACATGGCCTCTGTGCCTCAGTATATGCTTCGCTATATAGCCCAGGCTGGCCTGCAACTCAATCTCTTCCTTCCTCAGCCTCTTAAGTACAAGGACTACTAGCATGTACCACCATGTCTGGCTCTGCGAATAATAATTTTACAACGCCTGCAGTATAATTAAAGTTCACTTTATTATTGTCACTACTTTGAGACAAGGTCTCACTCTGTAGCCCAGGCTAGCCTGGAACTCACTATGTAGCCCAGGCTGGCATCCAACTTGTGGCAATCTTCCTGCCTCTGCCTCCCAAGTACATAGGTGAACCACCATGCCAGGCTTAAAATTTACATTTTTATGCATATCAAACAATGAAGATGTTCAACATATGGTGGCTGGCATCAGCTTCCTCGCAACCAGTGCAGGCTGTCTCGGGGTCTCATCCTTCCAACAACTGAAATTGCTCTTGAAGGATCAAAAGGGCCCTTCTTTACTCCCTACCCCCACCCCTCCTCTTAGAAGCTTCATAACACTATTTTTTGTCCCTCAACCCCATCTTTTTCTCTGGCATCTGAGTGCAGATATCTCTGAATTATGCATGGCTCCATAGTCCTTGGGTAAACTGGCAAGGTCTAGCCTATACTCTCACTTCTTAAGACAACTTCCAAGCCCTCACCTGGCCATGACCTCGGTTCTGAATCCTTGTTTCACATTTCTGGCTTCCTGTCAGATAATTCTACTGGAACCTCCCATGGCCTAGCAGCCATCTGGACTTTCAGAACTGCTGGTCTTATCACTGGGAAATCAGCTCAGTGGGACATGGTACTCACCTTCAACCCACACAGAGCCAGTTGGTATTTGCTGTAGGGTTTTGTTTTTTGTTTTTTTTCAGATTTATTTTCTTATTTATTTATTTCTTATTTATTTATTTATTTATTTATTTATTTATTGTGAACCACCTGATGTGGGTGCTGGAAACTGAACTTGGGTCTCCTACAAGAACAGCAAATGCTCATAACTGTTGAGTAATCTCTCCAGCACTGATATTTACTATAGTTTGACAAAGTGTCCTACAAAGGCCCATGGCTTAGTCCTCAGCTCATGGTACTACTGGGATGCAGTAGAACCTTTAAGAGGTGGAACCTGGGGCTAGAGAGATGGCTCAGCGGTTAAGAGCACTGGCTGCTCTTGCAGAGGACCTGGGTTCGACTCCCAGCACCCACATAACAGTTAACAACCATCCATAACTCCAGTTCCGGGGGATCTGACACCGCCTTCTGGCCTCCCTGGGCATTGCACATGTAGGTACACTCAAATACATGCAGGAAAAACACTAATACACATAAAATAAAAATAAATCAGCCAGGTGTAGGGGCACACACCTTTAATCCCAGCACTTGGGAGGCAGAGGCAGGCAGATCTCTGTGAGTTCAAGGCCAGCCTGGTATACATAGTGAGTTCCAGGCCAGCTGGGGCTACAGGGAGACCCTGTCTCAAAAAGACCAAAAA